ACATGTTGATGTAGAAGAGACATGAAGAAGAGGGGACACATGTTGATGTAGAAGAGACGTGGAGAAGAGGGGACACATGTTGATGTAGAAGAGACATGGAGAAGAGGGGACACATGTTGATGTAGAAGAGACATGGAGAAGAGGGGACACATGTTGATGTAGAAGAGACATGAAGAAGAGGGGACACATGCTGATGTAGAAGAGACATGAAGAAGAGGGGACACATGTTGATGTAGAAGAGACATGAAGAAGAGGGGACACATGTTGATGTAGAAGAGACATGGAGAAGAGGGGACACGAAGAGGGGACACATGTTGATGTAGAAGAGACATGAAGAAGAGGGGACACATGTTGATGTAGAAGAGACATGAAGAAGAGGGGACACATGTTGATGTAGAAGAGACATGAGAAGAGGGGACACATGTTGATGAAGAAGAGACATGAAGAAGAGGGGACACATGTTGATGTAGAAGAGACATGAAGAAGAGGGGACACATGTTGATGTAGAAGAGACATGAAGAAGAGGGGACACATGTTGATGTAGAAGAGACATGAAGAAGAGGGGACACATGTTGATGTAGAAGAGACATGGAGAAGAGGGGACACATGTTTGTCTTTAAATGTCCTAACTGAAAGCACACAGGACTACAGAGATGTGTTACTCTCCATGTTCAGCTAGTAAACGACGTGGCTATGCATGGTAACAAAGGTAAACAAAAAGATGGCTGACCTGATGGTGAGTTCAAAGATCTGAGCCAGACGGTCGTGCAACAAGTTCGCCTGCAGGAAGAAATGAGCCATAGTTAACTTCACAACATTTTAAAACCTCCAATGTGTAGCTCCACAGTAGAATAGAGGTATGAAGGGTGGTTCATGGAACTGGGTTCTGGTTTGTCTCACCTTGGACTCGCAGTGAGCGGCGATCTCTTCAAACGGAGCTTTCTGGAACTTTTCCATCAGCTGACGCCTCTTCTCCCGCTCCTGCTCCTCCACCCCCGTCGTGTCTGAGGACGAACAAACATGGAGGATTCAATTCAATTCAAATGTATTTATATAGCCCGATATCACAACACATTCGTCTCAGAGGGCTTCACAAATCAACAAGCATGAATGATATAAAGTAAAAACAACAAAGATATCTGAGAATATATTAAAATGATGGTCCATTTTCTTTGTTCCCGTTAAAACCCGCGCTGCAGCATTTTGGTTTAATCGAAGAGTCTTTCATGATGAGTTTGGACAGCCTGATAAAAGGGAATTGCAATAATCCAGGATGAAGGAGCTCCAGACGAAAGCCAATATATTTCCTTTGTAATCTGGGAGGGATTTCAGCAGAACAGGAGGGACGAGGTTTAACGAGAAAGTCTCACAAACTCACCGATGGCTTTCTTCAGCGTCTCGAACGTGATCTCCTCGGCCAGCTGGGACTAGAGGAAATAAAACACAGATTAGATTTAAACACATGAGGATGACATCTGATGAACATACCCTGAATAATAAACTTTAAAAAATACTACAACCTCCGTCTTATTTACGGGAATGTCTTCTTTTTAACTTTTGTTAAACGTTTTTCTATATTTTAATTATTTTTTCTTTGATTTATTATTGATTCTTCTATTTCAACCATTAAACAATTAAAACATCCGACAAACAAACTCAATTAGTAGCAGTGGGAGGGAAGAAAGCATAGTTTATACAGAGGAAGCCCTCCTGTTAGTCATCCAGTTTCAGGATAAAGAAAAAAAAGGTACATCTTTAATTAAATACTATTACTAATATTATTGACTTATAAAAAATGTTTTTTTTAACATACAGCACAAAGAAAACAAAACAAAGAAACGTGTCATTTTTGGCCTTGAATCCCCAATAAAACACATTTAAAAACAAAATAATAAAACATTAAAAAATATAAAAGTAATACAAATCATTTTTTAAATAATACAAAAATAATACAATAAATACATAAAAAATTCAAATAAAAGTAATTTAAAATAATAATAAAAGATAATTAATAATGTTAATAATTATAGCGTGTAGACGGACCTTGTCAGGCAGGATGTTGGAGATGATGTCCACCTGCAGAGAGATGGTGTCCACGTAGCTCTTCCTCCTCGTCATCCGGTCTTTATCTGAGAGACAGAGGAGATCAGATTAAGCTCCAAACCCTGATTTATGAATACTGCGAGAGCAATATCAGCATCAGCAGCACAGCAGAGTGCATGAGGAGAATATGTCTACATATTACATCTATTTTTTGTGTGTACTACGACACTTCAACGAGGAGGGGACGTGGTTTTAAAACGTTTTTAATTTATTTAATAACGTTTTTCTCACCGCCAGGTATCTCTGAAGGTCATGGTGCTTTCAAGTGCAGTCGTACATTTGAATACTTGAATACAATATAATGACTAAATTCAATTAACTAAATTAACATGTATATTTTCTGGTCGTCACCATCTTGGTTTCTAGTCGTCACCATCTTGGTTTCTAGTTGTCACCATCTTGGTTTCTAGTCGTCACCATCTTGGTTTCTAGTCGTCACCATCTTGGTTTCTAGTCGTCACCATCTGGTTTTTGGTCGTCACCATCTTGGTTTCTAGTCGTCACCATCTTGTTTTTCGTCGTCACCATCTTGGTTTATAGTCGTCACCATCTTGGTTTCTAGTTGTCACCATCTTGGTTTATAGTCGTCACCATCTTGGTTTCTAGTCGTCACCATCTTGGTTTCTAGTTGTCACCATCTTGGTTTCTAGTCGTCACCATCTTGGTTTCTAGTTGTCACCATCTTGTTTCTAGTCGTCACCATCTTGGTTTCTAGTTGTCACCATCTTGTTTCTAGTCGTCACCATCTTGGTTTCTAGTCGTGACCATCTTGGTTTCTAGTCGTCACCATCTTGGTTTCTAGTCGTCACCATCTTGGTTTCTAGTCGTCACCATCTTGGTTTCTAGTCGTCACCATCTTGGTTTCTAGTCGTCACCATCTTGGTTTCTAGTTGTCACCATCTTGTTTCTGGTCGCATCTTGTTTCTAGATCTTGTTTCTAGTGTCACCATCTTGGTTTCTAGTGTCACCATCTTGGTTTCTAGTCGTCACCATCTTGGTTTCTAGTTGTCACCATCTTGGTTTCTAGTGTACCAGTCGTCACCATCTTGGTTTCTCTTGGTTTCTAGTCGTCACCATCTTGGTTTCTAGTCGTCACCATCTTGGTTTCTAGTCGTCACCATCTTGGTTTCTAGTCGTCACCATCTTGGTTTCTAGTGTCACCATCTTGGTTTCTAGATGTTGATGT